CATATTTTGTTTCTGTTTTAGGTGTGATCCTCTGAACTACTTAAACAATATGCTCAGAATGTAGATATGGTTATAGAATAGGTTAAAAGGGACGGCTTGGCCTAGCAGTAGAGCGTTATACTGCTAACTCGAAAATCTCGAGTTCGAATCCGGGTTCAAGTCATTAAAACTTCACTGAGTCCACCCAGCTCTAACGAATACCTAACTTAACCCTTTGAGCCCGCCAGGCCGGTAAACCGGCTTCAACATTAGGCATATATGTCCGAAAAGCCGGTTTTCCGGCCCGGTGATCTAGCGTCATATTCCTAGCGGCCGGTGTACCGTCTAATTAAATATAATCAGCGGAAGACTGACTAAAACTGCGCATATGTCTTTTGAGTGCGGGATTATGATTCTAAAAATTGATTTTTAGGAAAAGTGAAAGTGAAAGTGTTTATATTTCGTAGTAATGCCGCCGAAACGAAAAGCTGAGCCACCGCCGTCGACTTCATCACATAAAGTTGGTGCAAAAGATGAAGCGAAAGACCGAAATGTCAAAAAAAGAAGTAGAATGACTGTATCTCAGGCAATACAACTACTTATTGATTCTGATGAAGAAGATATTATTCCTGGTCTATATTGTGATGATAGTGACGTTGAATTTGAGACTGAACACAGTGACATTGAAATTGACAGTGACAATGAAACTGTTCAAGTACGTTCTGATGCACGTAGTGCCAAGGACAAAACTTGCCGAAACTAAAAAAAACTGTTTACTGATGCAAAACATGCAAAAATTTTCTTTGCATCGGGTCCAGCAGTGATAACTGTTTTGAAAGTTATCATACAAAAGTGGACTTCTGGCAATGAACTAGTATGGCCAGGTATCAATAATAACAAAACAGTTACTAATTGTAAATTGGTTTCTTCTATGTTCTATCATAACAATAATTATGTGTTCGTTTTATATACATTGTTCTGTTCAAACATTGTAAAAAAGAAAGAATTTCAGAATCTTGCTACATTGTTGTTTGATCCTGAGTGTGGATACCAAATTTGGTTTGATTATCTCAAACGGTTCAAAAGTTATAGGCAAAGTTAGAAGCAGATAAGTGAAAATTGGTTTGGCCCTGGGAGCTCAGGAAATAGGAGAAATTAGGCCAGGGAGGCCAGGGCTCAAAGGGTTAAGTTAGAGGAAGAAAAGTCGGCTAGGCATAGAGCTGACCACACTACCCCCTAATACGCCGAGGTCACAGAAACAGGTAAACTACTTTACCGTCAGGTTCGGAAAGGGAACCACTATTATATCTAACAAGCGATACATCTTTTTGACAATAGAAAATTATAACTAACTTAAACGACATGGGTGTTTATGATTTTGAATTGGATTATCAATAGAAACAGCGTCTGTTTAAACGGTATTTGAAGTAATCTACAGGAAATGAATGGAAGAACCAACCTGGATCACATACTCCATAGCCCACAAGTAGAACGAGACAAATCAGTAGAACTGACGTCATCTTTGCCATCTTGAAGAGTTAGTTGTTGCGCTTAAATTAAAATAATTAGCAGTTAAAAGTTTACTGAAACAAAACAACCATCAATATGTGTACAGTTAGACATTGAAAGACATTGTTTCTAGAAAAAAAATCGGAAGATCTATACTGGGAGAGGGAAAAAGATGTCATCGTTTTGTGTCGATTTAAGGTAATAGGGTACACTGTGAACAATATGATTTACGTATTTCAACTGTTTTTTTTTTTGTTTAGAAACCAGTGGCGTAGGCAGGGGGGGGGGGGTTAGGGGGGGGTCATAACACCCCCCCATAGACCCCTAGGTATACATATAAAAAGTATGAGGGGGGGGGTGCAAATCTAAAGTATGAGGGGGGGGGGTGCAAATCGAAAGTTTGAGGGGGGGTGCAAATCGAAAGTTTGTCCCCGAGTAAAAATTGGAACCCCCCCCCCTTGAGACGATCCTGGCTACGCCACTGCTAGAAACTAATATTTTAGCCAGGGAAGAGACTTAATTTGTTTATGAACTAAATTTATGTAGCCTACTATATAATCTTCTGATAACATTTAGTGTACTAAATTCTTTTAACAGTTTAAACTAATTAAAAAAAATTAAGGACTAAATTCCTTGATTACTTTAAAACTTCTAGACACAAATAGTGTAGTAACTGAAATTATTTATTATTTTAACATTTAGAACTATTTAGTCATGCAACTGAATTCAAAGTATTATTTCAAATTTCTAAAACTATCGTACAGTTTCAAACACAAACTAAATGCCAAGAGAAGAAACGAACAAATAAAATTTATTTTAAAGTTTCTAATACACGCAACAGTATTTGATCCATGAGTTCCTTTAATTTCTACTGTTTTGTGTTCAGTCTTACCTTTTTGTTTCAAAACACAGGCTGGTATGAGTATACAGAATTTAATCATTCCTTTTATATAAAACGTATCTAATAATAAGTTTTATAAATGTCTAAGGAAAGAATGTATAAAGTTAAAAAAAAAATTAATGAACTAAATTTGTAATTGAATTTCTATAAATCTCTTCAAGAATTTAATAACATTCGCAATTAATAAATCTCAAGAATTTGATAAAATTCGCAATTAATTAATCTCTGTCATCTGGTGCTAGGGCCTTGTCGTGGCTTGGCAGCTTGCGTACCCTGACGACCCCCAGAGCTATACCAGCGGGAGTGTTAACTCCTGGCAGGTTCAACCAAGCTGGGAAGGTCTGCGCGGGTAGGGGTCAGACGAAAGCTAGCACCCCGGTCCTCCAGGTTGGGGGTTGAGCATAAGGTCAGCAACCTTATCTCGTAAAACAAATTACTCACTACAGAAACGCAAACAAAGAGAAACAAAGACAGCTTCGGCCAGGGGAAGAATGGATCTCCTGATGGAGAATTTATGAAGCCGGATGGTGAAAGTGAAATTAATTAATCTACGAGAGTAGAAGAATGTCAGACCTACTTCCGCCCGTCACATTGATGGAAGGCCAGTATCGATATCACCCTTCACCCATCACATTGATGGAAGACCAGTATCGATACGAACTTCCACCCATCACTTTGATGGAAGGCCAGTATCGATACGAACTTCCACCCATCACATTGATGGAAGGCCAGTATCGATTCGAACTTCCACCCATCACGGTGATGGAAGGCCAGTATCGATACGAACTTCCACCCATCACATTGATGGAAGGCCAGTATCGATATCACCCTTCACCCATCACATTGATCGAAGGCCAGTATCGATATCACCCTTCACCCATCACATTGATGGAAGGCCAGTATCGATATCACCCTTCACCCATCACATTGATCGAAGGCCAGTATCGATATCACCCTTCACCCATCACATTGATGGAAGGCCCATATTGATACGACCCCTTTACCCATCACATTCATGGAAGGCCAGTATCGATACGAACTTCCGCCCGTCACATTAATGGAAGGCCAGTATCGATATCACCCTTCACCTATCACATTAGTGGAAGGCCAGTATCGATATCACCATACACCCATCACATTAATGGAAGGCCAGTATCGATAAGAAATTCTACCCATCACATTGACGGAAGGCCAGTAACGATACGAACTTCCATGCATCCAATTGATGGAAAGCAAATATCGATACGAAACGTCACCCATCATGTCGTTAGAATACCATAATCGATACTAACTTCGACTTATTATATTAGTATTAATTTATGTTAGCTTAGGTTAGGCTTACCTGTCTCCTCTCCTGGGTCATAGGCCGCTGACAAGATTTTTCCAGGCGTCTCTGTCCTGGGCTAGTCTCTCCAACTGTTCCCAGGTGTATCCAATCTTCTTGGTGTCTTCTTCCAGGCCACGTCTTTTTTTTTCTTTTTTTATTATTTATCAAGCTCATTTTGGTGGATTTGTATAAGGACTAGAGTTGCATATGAAAGTATGATTTATTTCAACATCCAAATACTTCATTTCAACTGTCAATTTTTATTTTATTTCTATCATCACCATCTAGAGTTTCTTCTAGGCATCTCTTCGGGTCGGGGGGGGGGGGGGTGGGGAGGGCTCCGAAGAAAGTCTACCGCGCCCCCCCCCCCCTCCCCGAATGAGATGGAATTTATATAGTAAACATATACTTTTACTAGTGTCTGCCCCTCCCCCCCCTGAAAATGTAGATAGACCGCACCCCCCCCCCCCTCCGAAAATATCAAGTGCCCCCCCCCCCGGAGAAGAAAGTCTGGAAGAAACACTGTCACCATCATCATCCACTAATGACGAAATAATCTGATGTTTTCTCCATCATAAAGTTCACACCCAAGACCAGTGTAAAATCAGCAAAATATTGCCATGTTTAACCATCCTGCTAATTAATTAAGGATTTATTGCTACACTAATTATGTATACGGTGTCATTTTCTTTTGTTGCTTTTTTTATCTTTAAACTTTAATCTCTGCATTTACGATTCCATCTGGCTATACGACTCTCCATAATTATATCAAAGACAGGAGAATTTTTTTTTCTCATCGGCGTGGTGAGTTGAGGGGGTTTGAGCTTTTAAGTAGAGCTTAAATAAATTTAAGAATAAAACATCTTTTTTTCATGTTTCATGTTCGAAATCGTGTAAAGAATTTGATGTTGATGTAAAGTTCCGCTTTTAAACCTGACGGTCTATGGGGCAAGGGAAGTAGAGTTCACTTGTTTCTGTGACCTCTCACCACTACGCCCAGCCGCCTTACTTTCCCTAACGCGAGTTAGGTACCCATCAGAGTTGGGTGGACTCAGGGACAGTCTGCTGACTTGAACCCGGATTCGAACTCGATACTTTTGGGTTAGCAGTCCAGCTCTCTTCCGCTAGACCAAAAAAAAGACCACTCCGTTCTATTTAATTTTTAAATCTTTTTTTTAAATCTTTTTTTTTTTTTTTTAATTTGAAATAAACTGCTTTGTGATGATTATCACAGATTCAGCTGGGTATTTGTAAAAGAAATAAATATAGTTGAGCTATTTACAAATGAAAAAACAAAATGAATGGCATTATTAAATATTTTGTTTTGGGATATTGATGCAACTCGTAAGTGAACGCAGCAGAAATGGGAGCAAAATCTTTTCATCTGAAGAAGGGAATTCTTTCTAACAATGCGCGCAGTATATTGCCAGGGCACTTCTGATGAGTTGCAATTAGAGATTCCAAAGCACTTTTCACAGCTTCTGCAAGCTCCTCTGCAGTGAAGTTAGGATTTGCCAGGATGGGCTCGCCAAATATTGTTTTGAGTTTAACTGGGAATAATCCATAGACAGGCGCCAGAGGAAGTCTGGTCTTTTCATACAAGCCTCGGAACCACGCTCTGGCCCAGTTAGGTGTTCTAAAAGCTTCTCTGATATTTACTGTAAACATTGGAATTATGGGCACGTTAGCCTGCAGGGCAACTTTAGCAAAGCCACATCTTAATTTTTAAATCAAATATTAAGTTAACATTGGATGTCTTTTCACATTGGTGAAATTCTATTTCAATAAAAATTGAGACATTTAGAATTTAATACAGCTAGTGTTTACCTATTACAGGAAAATTCAAATCATTTTTCAATAAAGTATTAAAATGCATAAAATATACAAATGTAGAATTTCAGATTGTATGTTTATTTGAGAAGTATGCAATGTGGTGATCATAAAAGATTTTACAATTGAATTTCTCAGTTTTAAACACTTTTGATGACAAAGTTAAATATTACTTCCCTTGAAAATTTAGATTATTAAAATTGGAAGTAACAATCCTAATTGTGTATTCAAAGTTAACAAAAACATTTTTACTTTGCAAACTGTCTACTTTTGTCAACTGAGCAATTATTAGACAATGTTTACGCGGCACTATGCGCCACCGACATTGATTCCAACGCTTCGATCCAGATACCCTTCACAGCTGAGTGCATTCAAGCACGTCGTGCAGGTTCAACAAGGTGAGGTTAAGGGCCAACCTCGATGCATTCAGATTAGCAATCTAGTGCTCAGCTACCTAACCAAGCCCTTCCGAATTCACTTTAACTTCTATCTTCCTCTTCTTCTTGTTCTTCTTCGTTCATAATTTCAGTGTTTAAAGGGATCCCTTTAAACACAAGTATACCTGTCAACTTGTTATGCACCATATAGGTCGTTGACTTCGATTTCAGCCTGCTTTTCTTTTTGGATTTGCTTCCGTAGCCTTTGTCTAACCAAAAACAAACTGCAAGGCAGCAGTTGTTTGATTTTGGAGTTGTCTCTCCTAGAAGAGTGGCTGTCCCCAGCTGTCGAGTCTCATCTGCCCGAGGGTTCGAACAATGGGCTTTACCGACTCGACCACGCCGACCCCTTCTCTTTAAACGATTTGACTCTATATCGTCTTTTTTTAAACATGTATTTAACCAGGTTTTATAGGGTAGTACCATAGTGCTGTTATGTACCGATGTTAGAAAACAATATGATGAGTACTAAAGGTGGTGTCAAGCGTAATTTATTTAGTACACTGAAAGTTCGATGTGGTTAAATATGCATGTAAATACGCCCTTGTCTGCATGTATTTTATTCCTATACACACAGCAATATTTTACTGTATTTCATTACGTTTATATTACATTATTTCTCTCACTTTTAATAAGGATTAATATAACGCGTTGGTTGTTGTTTTTAATTAAAACTTTAATTTTCTTTTTTTTTAAAGCTTGTGAAGTTCAACAAATTTTGTGTAGAACGAAGAACGTTTTTTTCACTGTTTCCTTTTGACCTGATGGGGAAAAAAAGAAAAAAAATATATATCAAATAAATTATACGAGCCGGCCCGCGGCATAACATACGCCGCTATTTAGCTGTTGTTTTTTCTACTTTTCAGTAATTCATAATTTGTGAATTCGACAGTAGTCTACCAAGGCTGACACTAAAAATGTGGGGTGGGGATGGTAGGGAGCGCGTTTACAGCTTGTTTTCTAGCGTCTCCCAGAAGAGAATTATATATATAGATTCATAACAGAATTTGAGAAAAAAGTCGAGCGTTCTTTACCAGAAGAACTCTCCATGATCACTTACTTATTATTATCTCGCCATTTTAATTGCGAATGATATGTTACACAAATGTAATGTAAATCATAAACAAAAGAGCACGTGTGTCAGAACAGAGTTTCTTCCAGTATGTTTAAACATCTATATGCTTTTGTAAGGTCACCATATTGAGTTATATTATGTTTTTGTTACATATTATTTAGTTAAGATTGAATATATATGTATCCAAAATGTTTTTAAGCTTTGAGCACTACCTTACTTAGATATATTCTCTGTTTGTTACAAATCATTTGGTTCAGATTGAATAAATCTATCCAAATGTTTTAAGCATTCAGCACTACCTTTCCTTAGATATGTTCAGTGTTTGCTTTAAATTTGAAACTAGTCCGCTGGGAACTCTGTCGATGATGCCTGTTCTGTTTCCGGTGCCAGAACTTCCTCCAACCCTTTCTGGGATTCTGGAACATTCTGCCCCTGGTCACATCTGGTGTTCACACAGTCGATATCAGTCTGTGGTGATACATTTAGATATCAGTCTGTGGTGATACATTTAGATATCAGTCTGTGGTGATACATTTGGATATATATCAATCTGTGGTGATACATTTGGATAGATATAAGTCTGTGGTGATACATTTGGATATATATCAATCTGTGGTGACACATTTGGATAGATATAAGTCTGTGGTGATACATTTGGATAGATATAAGTCTGTGGTGATACATTTGGATAGATATAAGTCTGTGGTGATACATTTAGATATCAGTCTGTGGTGATACATTTAGATATCAGTCTGTGGTGATACATTTAGATATCAGTCTGTGGTGATACATTTAGATATCAGTCTGTGGTGATACATTTGGATAGATATCAGTGGTGATACATTTGGATAGATATCTGTGGTGATACATTTGGATAGATATCTGTGGTGATACATTTGGATAGATATCTGTGGTGATACATTTAGATAGATATCTGTGGTGATACATTTGGATAGATATCAGTCTGTGGTGATACATTTAGATAGATATCAGTCTGTGGTGATACAAAGGGATAGATATCAGTCTGTGGTGATACAAAGAGATAAATATCAGTCTGTGGTGATACATTTGGATAGATATCAGTCTGTGGTGATACAAAGGGATAGATATCAGTCTGTGGTGATACATTTGGATAGATATCAGTCTGTGGTGATACATTTGGATATATATCAGTCTGTGGTGATACAAAGGGATAGATATCAGTCTGTGGTGATACATTTGGATAGATATCAGTCTGTGGTGATACATTTGGATATATATCAGTCTGTGGTGATACAAAGGGATAGATATCAGTCTGTGGTGATACATTTGGATAGATATCAGTCTGTGGTGATACATTTGGATATATATCAGTCTGTGGTGAGACATTTGGATAGATATCAGTTTGTGGTGATACAAAGGGATAGATATCAGTCTGTGGTGATACATTTGGATAGATATTTGTCTGTGGAGACATTTGGATAGATATTTGTCTGTGGTGATACATTTGGATATATATCAGTCTGTGGTGATACATTTGGAAAGATATCAGCCTGTGGTGATACATTTGGATAAATATCAGTCTGTGGTGATACATTTAGATAGATATCAGTCTATGGTGAGACATTCGGATAGAAACTTTTGATTTAAAGTGTTCTCTAATTAAACACAGTATATTGTATCTGTCTGTGGTGATACATTTGGAAAGATCAGAGTTAAAGTGATCTCTTATTTAACACAGTCTGTTTTTATACATTTTGATAGAATCTTTAGAGTTAAAATGATCTCTTATTAAAAAAATTATTGAAACTTTTGTTGTATTTTTAATAATGTAACTGCAAGGCAGCATAGTCGAGTGGTATATCGCTCAGCTCTGAACTCAAGCGGCGTGAGTTTGGATCCTTTAAGGGAAACCATTAGACCCCTTTGTCATCAACTCTAATTGCTGTGTAGATAGTCAAGGCAGCTGAGGTTTATAAATAGCACATTGGTGTAATGTAGTCTTACAAACATGACAACTCAGCTTCATACGCCATATGTTCAAAATTAATGTCTGTTTATTTCGAAAAGCTTTTACATATTCTGTTTACGCTTAAACTAAACACCAGCTGAGTCGGATAAAAAGAATGTGAACACTTACTTGATATCTTTCATCCCATTCTGAATCTAAGACATGAATAGAATTGTAAATAAGTTCATCGTTATCAATGTATTAATTAATTCGTTAGTGCTACCAGTATATAAATTTATCTTTAGACTTAGTGATCTATTAGGTAGATGAAGTAGAGTCGATGTCTTTCTTGACCTCAAATGTGAGCAGTATTATACCCAGCCGATTTTACTTTCTCCAACTTACGTCAGGTACCCCTTAGAGCTGGGTAGACTCAGGAACCTCCTACCCTTATGATAATGTTAAAAAAATGTATTTCATATTGCGGTTATCATGTTTGAATTTTAAAATTTGGAAAACAAAGTTTCAACTTTAACGTAGAAGAAATGGACTGTTCGTGAGCTCTAGCTTTGTTTATATTTCTACCAGTATATGTTAACTACATAATAGTTAAAGAATATTAGTTTGACTTTTGTCTTTGGTAATTGCTAACAATTTAAAAAATCGATATAACGTGAGCCAATACTCCGTTCCTTTCGGCTAAATACAGGCAGAGGCGTAGCGGACCCCTCCCGGCGCCCCGGGACAAACTTTCATTTGCCCCCCCCCCCATATATTTTTTATATTTATAATTTAAAACTGCAGCTAAAATGAGCTTTTTTGCGCCCCTAGGATTGGCGCCCGGGGACATATGTACCCATCCTCCCCCATTCGCTACGCCTCTGAATACAGGTTATGGAATTGATTGTGTAAATGCTGACATGTGGGATTTATTTTGTGTTAAGTCGTGGCATTAGCATGGGACGACGTGGTCAAATAGTACGACTCCTAACCTGAAAGTCTTGGGTTTGAATAGGGGTTCAAGTCTGTAGAACCTCCCTGAGTCCACCCAGCTCTAATTGGTACCTGACTCACGTAACGGAAAGTAAAGCCGGATGACCATATTGCTGACCAAACTATCTCTTTATATGCCGATTTCACAGAAAATAGATGAACTTTACTTGTCCCATGGACCGTCAGGTTCAAAAAGGAACTTTTTGTATGTTAAAATATGAAATATGTAAGTTTAAAATTAATGTTTCGCTTCAAGTCACAAACATTTTGTGTTTGATTAAATAAATCCGTGTGTAGACTCCAACATGACACACGTCCTCAAACACATTAAAACCCTCGTTTAAGATAGAATTCCCTGTCCCTTCTAAAATAACTGTAGTCGCATGATACGCTCCTAATTCGAAATGTCCAGTACCCGAATTGTTCGTAGTTCGCATTGCTCGTGGGCCGAGGTATTTGTAAACCGAATAGTTCGTAGTCCGAAACGTTCGTAGCATTAACGTAGCTGTTCTCCCTTTATAACTTTTATTGTGTTTTCAATCGCCAGTCGCCTAAACAAAGTTCCTTAAGTAAAGTAAAAATATCGAAAATATCAAAATATCTTTTCTATTTTTACTTTCTCGTATATGCGAAGTATAGAGAAAGTATTGTAATCGTGCAAAAAAAAAAATCGAGATTTTTACAAATCTGTGTGTGTGTCTGTGTGTGTAAACACGATAACTTGAGTACTGTTACAGCTAGGTTGATGAAATTTCATTTATAAGTATTTTATCAAAATCTTAGATCTGTATCAACTTTTGAGCGATTTTCGATAACCGGAATTGGTACTTTTTCTACTTTGAATTTTTCAAAAGCCTATAACTTGAGTGCTATTTCAGATAGATAAATGAAATTTCACATGTAAGTAAAAGACGTAATTCTCTTCCTTTTGTCAAAATTTTGAGTAATTTCCGTTGACTGAAAGTAGTAATTTACGCTGTTTCAAATTTCTCAAAAAACTCATGTAAATTTATAAAGTACTAATAATATCCCGCGTATTATGCACATTTTGTTTTGGCGTTCGCTTGGTGCGCAATTCTTTTTTCTACGAGATTCTATTCTATTTTTAAAAGTTTAAGTAATTAAAAATCATGTCTATATTCCGAGTTGCCATCCCACGTAGTGTTATATAAAAATATCCGAGAAAGTTTAGGGGAGATCACTCCCGGTTTATTTAATCATATATGGATAATTTTATACTTCTCGATTAATTAAAATTATCGAAAATATCAAATATCTTTTCCTTTATTTTAATCACATATAGGAATACGTGTCGATTTAGTCAACATACCGAAAATATCAAAATATCTTTTAAATATATATATATTGATATAAACAAGGTTCGCTTTTGACCCTGACGGGTCTATGTGGCAAGTGAAGTACACTTCACTTGTTTCTGTGACCTCGGCATATGAAAGGATAGTTTGGTCAACACCGATTGAAAATCACATGAAACTGCAGAAATGACTGAAAATTCTCACCTATCATGTTTGCTTTATGAAAATAATGAAATAGTTTCTTTTAGACATTGTTTTCTCTGGGAGGAGATAGGTGTGCACTTGAAACTTCTGGGTGGGTGAAGTATATATATTTTTTATACATTACATATATATTTTCAATTTCGTCAGGAGGTGGTAGTGGGTGCGCTGGTGGGGGGTGGGGGTGGGGGCATTGAGTGATGCCAGAAAACACCTCGGAATGAGAGAGAAGACAAACCTGCATTACATATGGCACTGACCGCCAGAAGAACCAGCCCAATCAACAGGAATGACGTCATTTTTGCCATTGTGTAGATGTGGTAGTCAGGAGAACACAAATCAAGCTGAAAAATAATAAAAAAAGTTACCTCCCATGTTAGACCCGATATGGTGTGGGGGTTTTCTTATTAAACTAGGGTATGAAGGACCATGGTCTAATTGGGATGGTGTTAGTATTGTTGCTGTGTTCGCTTGAGATCACATCTCAAAAAAAAAGGGGAAAAACATCTCAACAAAAGCTAAGCCTACATCTTCAAGTTCATTAATTAAAAAACTTATAAAATTCTCAGATCTCTTCTGGGCGAGTTACATTTTTTGTGTTTGATTTTTATTTATTTTATTCCTTTTTTTTTTTTTTTTTTTTTATTCGGAGGCTTTTATGTTTAAAGGCTATCTCAAACAATAGTAAAATATGTGTAAATAGTGTTCAACATGGTATAAAAAGTACTTAATATAATTCTCATAAAATAATTTTTAAAAAAAATATTTCTAAAAATTGTTTTGTTTAAATCCTCAGACTTGAAAGTTAAGATGAAATGTCCTTTTGATAGAGAACTTTAACAGCAAAATCATCAGGAACACCACAGTTCAACCAATGAATGTTGAAATGACAGATTTTAAAAATCAGTAACTGTCTGTGTAAGTCAGTCTCTAGCAAAAACAAGTTGGGCAAAAGAAAATAGGGGAAAATCAAAACAAGCAGAACACAAAGTATGTCATTCAGTTACTGCGCATTACGCATTACAAGTCTGCTAGATTTCAAGAGGTTTTAAATTGTTGTATTTAAACATAAACATATAAACAAGACGGCCCTGAATGGGTTAATAAAAAATTTAGGTTATCAAATCCACACTTATTTTATTCCAACAAACATCAGAAAGCCTTCAAATTTTAAATAATTTTAAAAACCGAATTCATTACTTATGTTTATGATTTTAAATCTTTATCCTATATTCAGTTGCAACGTTGAATAGAAATCTAAAGTATAATAAACTTTATTAAGCTCAAAATTACGATCAACTCAATTTGATAAGCTAAATTTTTGTATCAAATTATTAAGCCTAATACTTTAAACTACAATTTAATTTCTATTTAATTTTGTTTCTTACCTACAAAGCCCAGCAAAAATGACCTGAGTGAAAACTAAACCAAGGACATAATATCCCCTTTTTATTAAAAAAAAAATCCAGTAAGTAATTCAACTTTTTTTTTAAATATAAAGGCGAATAAAACTTTAATACTACCACTACTCTAATAAAGAAAATTTAATATTAATTTTCGAATTGCAACAAAGCAACAAAGAAAATTTGAACTCCGTGCGCATGTCACACTTTTTAAATTGCCGAAAGTTCATTTGAATTTCGATAGCCTTTCAAAGAATGTAATTATTTTTCTGTGATTGAAGTGTTAATAGCCTTACAGAATTGTGTAATTGTATTTCTATTGTGTGTTCCTACCCAAGCTGGTTGGCCATTTTAAGTGCACAATTTTATTACATCTGGGTTTACGGCTGGTTAAAGGTTTTAAGAATGGTCGGGATTTTAGAGGTTTAGTGCAAATCCGCGAGCTGTTTAAATGTTAGTGCTCTGCTTCCAAGGACAACACTGTGTTACTATTAGGGTTATGTTTAGTGTAGATCTAAAGACAAGGTACATTTATCGCATGGACTTGACTTTAAGGATTAGTACAAAACTACAGTAAAGTACGTAGGGCTAAAGGAACAGAGGCACCAATAATATCAGGAGCGACATCTATAGGCGTGAGGGGGGGGGGGGGGGGGGGCGACAGTAGTGTATGCCCTCCCTCCTGCCGTTTTAGCTATTCGTTGACTGAATTGTCTAGAAGTTTCTAGACGGCGGTATATGTCATAGTGGTACTGCAATTCTATAACATAGAGGAGAAGAACGTGAGACTGGAATTCTATAATTGAGATGGGAAGAAAGTGAGACTGAAAACCTATAACATAGAGGGGCAGAAGGTGAGACTGGAAACCTATAACATAGAGGGGAAGAAAATGAGACTGGAAACCTATAACATAAAGGAGAAGAAAATGAGACTGGAAACCTATAACATAATTTGACAGAAAGTGAGACTGGAAACCTATAACATAGAGGGGCAGAAAGTGAGACTGAAACCTATAACATAGAGGGGCAGAAAGTGAGACTGGAAACCTATAACATAGAGGGGCAGAAAGTGAGACTGGAAACCTATAACATAGAGGAGAAGAAAATGAGACTGGAAACCTATAACATAGAGGGACAGAAAGTGAGACTGGAAACCTATAACATAGAGGGGCAGAAAGTGAGACTGAAACCTATAACATAGTTTGACAGAAAGTGAGACTGGAAACCTATAACATAGAGGGGCAGAAAGTGAGACTGAAACCTATAACATAGTTTGACAGAAAGTGAGACTGGAAACCTATAACATGGAGGGGCAGAAAGTGAGACTGGAAACATATAACATAGAAGCAATGTCACAGTGCTACACATAGCTAATACTAGTAGGCTACCTGAAAGATGGTACCCGAATCACGTTAGGGAAACTTAAGGCAGCTGGGCATATGCCGAGGACACCGAAAGGGATTAACTCTACTTCACCTGTCCCATGGACCGTAATGTTACTTAACTTTTACAGGTGGCTAACTACCAACCAGGGGTTAATAATTGATCTTTAATTGATTGGTGACGATAATTTCTTGAATAATTTACTGACGTCATCATACAACGAGACGTGTGTTGCAACATGACACGTCTGTATTTCTGGAATTAAAGTAGATTAAAGCATTAAAAATCCAGTTCGGCATTTATCATCACTTTTAGACCCCCCCCCCCCCCCCCCACCGCCCACTTGCAAGTCTTCACCAATGCGTATCAAATATAATTGTCTAACCTTTTCTACGTTCTTAATTTGTAAATATTGTAAGGAATTCCCTCCAACACAATTAAGTATACGTGTCAACTTGTTATGCGCCATAGAAGCCGTTAACTCCTATTTCAACCTGCTTTTCTTTGTGGATTTGCTTCCATAGCCTTTGTCCATCCAAGAACAAACTACAAAGAGCAGTTGTTTAATTTTGTAGTTGTATCTCCTAGTTGGGTAGCTGTCCCTAGCGTATGTCTGTTCGAACTCAAGACCTTTACGTTTATCAACCATGAGCTTTACTGACTCGACCGTGCCGACATCAATTCGTCTTACAAAATTAAAAAGCCAATATTGATGATGACCCCTCCCCCTCCCCTTACAGTATAACACAACGGAGAACACCAGGCATACGCAATACGTTCCAGTATTTTTTATTCACCTTCTGTCAGCAACGAATATCGTTTCGCCGTATTGGTTTACAAGCTTAAAATACATCGTTTCGATTCATCATTCGTTTCTTTTTTATATTTTCTTAGTTAAAGTTGCTCTATTCTCGGATGTCAGCGTAAAGTGCAGATTTATTTACATCATACGATCTAGGACTATCATTTGTCTACACATGACATGGGGCTGTTAAACTCTCACATGTCACATGACATGGGGCTGTTACCCTCTCATATGTCAACACATGACATGGGGCTGTTACCCTCTCATATGTCAACACATGACATGGGGCTGTTTCCCTCTCATATGTCAACACATGACATGGGGCTGTTACTCTATGTCACATGACATGGGGCTGTTACCCTCTCATATGTCAACACATGACATGGGGCTGTTACCCTCTCATATGTCAACACATGACAAGGGGCTGTTACCCTCTCATATGTCAACACATGACATGGGGCTGTTACTCTATGTCACATGACATGGGGCTGTTACCCTCTCATATGTCAACACATGACATGGGGCTGTTACCCTCTCATATGTCAACACATGACATGGGGCTGTTACCCTCTCATATGTCAACACATGACATGGGGCTGTTACCCTCTCATATGTCAACACATGACATGGGGCTGTTACCCTCTCATATGTCAACACATGACAAGGGGCTGTTACCCTCTGTCACGTGAGATGGGGCTGTTACCCTCCCATATGTCACATGACATGGGGCTATTACCTTCTCATCTATCAAAGCTTCACCAGCGGCTGTTAGAGTGAAACATGAGAACACTTGCACTAGAAATAAATATGTAAATTATATTAACCGTTCTGATTTATGTTCAGGTCTTGCTATAATCACGTGATATATTGCATCACGTTAAATCCCAGTATGTTTAACTTGGATTGGAAGTTCTACGAACGAATAGCCTTGGCCTAAATTAAGTAAACTTGGTTATTATTGAGTGCACAGTTGTAAACATATTTACGTTAGGTTTTACTGGCTATACAATTTTTGTTTACGTAATCTAAGTTTAGATCTTTACTAGTTGTAAAAGGAGCCAAAATGTTTGATGACCTCAGTACGATATGTAACGTGTATTTATTAATAGACTAAATTCGTAGTTCAACAAATCGATCAAGCATTAACCTAAATAGTATTCTAGACCGAGTATCGAGTTCCACTGATTTCCCTTTGATAGCGGCCATGTTTGGTAACCTACTTCTTTGGTTTCATGCTTGACAGATTCTCTCCCTTAAGTTTGATACCTAGATTAATACTTTTACTTTCAAAGTCTATTGGCCGAGTTTTAGGTTTTATCTTCTTCTTCTTCGCTCTTAATTTAAGTGTTGGAAGGGATCCCCTCCAACACAATTAAGTATACGTGTCAACTGGTTATGCGCCATTAGGCCATTGACTTCGATTTCAGCCTGCTTTTATTTTTGGATTTGCTTCCATAGCCGTTGTCCAACCAAGAACAAACTACAAGGCAGCAGTTGTTTAATTTTGGAGTTGTCTCTCCTAGAAGAGTGGATGTCCCCAGCTAACGGCCTTATCTGCCGGAGGGTTCGAACTCGAGACTTTTCGGTTTAGCAAAACATGAGCTTTACCGAATAGTAAGAATTTTTGGATTTTACTGTAATAGGTGCAGATAAAAAGCAGGTGCCCTGTATTTGTAAGGCCAATCAATATTTTAAGGAACACATGAAAACATGACCTGGAAGATAGGATACACTTTGGGACAGTTCGAAAGAACAGCCCAGCGGTCTATGTCCCAGGAGGGGCGGCACCCTAACCACCCTAACCATTCATCATCATTTCCCGTTCGTGCCCAAGGCAGACGAAGTAGAGTTCATCTGTTTCAGAGAACTCGGCATACGAGGTATAGTGTGGTCAGCACTATGCTCAGCCGCCGTTATTTCTTATTTCCCTAACGTGAATTCGGTGCCCATCAAAGCTGGGTGGACTCAAGGACGTTCCACTGATTTCAACCCGGATTCGAACTCGAGACTCTCGGGCTAGCAGTCTAGCTCTCTACCGCTAGGCCACGCCGTCCCATAGTCTACCTACCGTCCAAATTGCCGTCCCATTGTTCAATCAATACTTTGCCCAAACTTACTCGCGCATGGGAAATGAACTCAAGACTTTCAGGTTAGCTACTGCGAGGGCTATCGCTATACCACACACTTCCCAACTCGGGTTTATTATTTTTTCAACAGTTTTTAAGTACCATACGGTCGGTGTATTTTTTCCAATGTCAAAGTTCATATATCAAATGTCAAAGTTCATATTTAAAATGTCAATTTTCATATTTTAAATGTCATCCTTCATATTTCAATTGTCATTGGTCATGTTGAACTCTATTTCAACACATTGCAAAATGTCACTGTTCATACTTTAAATGTCAGTTTTCATATTTCACATGTCAATGTTAATAGTTGAGGTAAGAGAAGCATGTTAACTCTACTTCATCTGCCCTAACCACCGCCATGTTGGAAATGGTAACCTTACTTTGATAATTTCTCCTGCCCCTAGTATTTTGTTATATTTCTTCTTATCGATTGGATCCAGTATAAATATAATGATTTTTTTTACAAGTACAATACAAGCAAGCATGAAAAAGTCAACAACAGCTTTAACAATTTAATCACAGCTGGCAAAGAACACCAAACTACTATTAGGTCGTTGTATTCACCTAAAGTAACAAATAAAAGTCAACTGTTACATTGTCAATTACAACCACAGTAACAAGTAACATGTGTTACACAATTAGTTAACTATTGCATCATAAGTATCATTCAAAGAAACATTTACTACTTAATTAACCATTATGTCTACATCATAAAATGCATACTTAGTAACAAGTAGCATTTGTTACACAGTTAATTATTACCTAGTCA